TGTCACAGTTATTACATTCGGCACATTGCAAGCCGAATTCGGTTCGTGAACTTTGTAAGAAATAGCAGCCTTGTCTTCAGGCTCGAGAACCCAAGAGGCCGAGACGTGTTCCTTTCTCGGCCGCAATCGCAAGACGCAGAAGTCAGTAGCGCGACCCAACGCAGCATCATCAAATTTACTCCTCGGCCGAGCCCCGGCCGACGAGTTGGCACGCCCGCAATCACCGAAGGACGTAGTTAGCTTAGAATATACTTGGCCTGCGCGCCACGTAGGCTTTGTAATTTCTAGGGTCAACAGGTGGTGAATTGTTGTTAGCCCATTAAATTAAGTATGTTGAGGGGCATCTTGTTAATTCCTTGGTCTAAGGTATCAAACTGATAACGTTGCTCTATATTTGGGAAACAAAAGGAATTCTAAGGAAATAATGGGGGAATAATTTGGACAATAGAAAAGATTATCTTGCAATTTTTCATCAAGCTTCTTTGTCCTCTTGCTTAGCTTAGCAATACAAACTTCATGAGAGCCGTCGCGTGACTTCAAATGCTCATCCAGATGCTTAGTGATTGGAGACAAATTTCAGGCCAGCATTCACACAACATCATGAGTTTGATTTCTCGTATTGGTGACTCACGCAATAATGACCAAGAAGAAGCTAAAATGTTTTAGCGAGTCTTCTCAACCCAGAATGATGGATTGCCTTGACGAAACCACTAGCTAACTTTTTTTTTTTTTTTAAACACATGGTAGTAAGGATGCATGTGATGCTATAATTATTTACATTATGTGTCACATGCATTCAACAAAGTAGTTGAAATATGTAATGTATTTCTCAAGTAAACTCTATGTGCAAGCAAATGCATCTATATACAAGAGAGAAAATTCTTACTTACAATTGAGAGATATATCAAATGACGATACTGATGAGTTTTATAAATTCATAACATATATCTAAATAAAACAAGAGAATTTTTTTTCCCTTAAATCTTTGGTATAATAATTAAGATTTATTGTTTATGTTTTTTTATTCACATAATAAGAAATGGTTGAGCTACATTAAATAGTGGCATGGAAACCATTGACTATAGACAATTGATTTCAAAAGAATTGAATATAGTGTAAGACATATTCTGAAATCACAACAACAAGACATTAGGATCACGAATAAATCAAATCAATATAAAATAGAGATTAACTAATTATATTAAACTTATCTGTAGAATACGGAAGACATTGCAGATTTCTAGGTTGTCTTCTACTTCCAGTACTTCAATAATATCTCTCTGCTATATGAATAGGGTTCAGCGTATCTGAGAGATTAAGCGTATGGAAGCAGGGACTTAACCATAATATTTATATCATTAGGGTTTAATCACAACCAGCCTATTATTTGTGAAAGTCGAACCCTATCACTTAAGTGTTTAAGTCCCACCATGATACTGTATCTTTGTAGTGAAATCCATCAGATTTCTTTTAGGTCAATTGCAAAGGATAAGACTCCATAATCCTTATTTCGTTTGGACTATCAGATTACTTAAGTTGTTAACAACTCAATAAACAAGTGGCCTACAACATAAGTAATCCAATACATCATTCATTGTCATTCACAACCTTACATATAGATGATTGGAAATTGGGTAGCGTTATCCACACATTCATTTTTATGGCTGCGGGTTTGTTTTCCTCAAAATTTGTGTCTTCTTTGTGTCTCTTCTCTAATTTCTTGACACGTGTCTTTCAATTTTAACATAAGTTCAACGCTGTTAATTTCTATTATTTTGCATTAAAAAAGTAGAGTTCTTGAAAATCCTTTGGCCACCCAGCTCAACATGTGTCATGCAATTAGAGAAGAGACATAAGGGGAGACACGAAATTTGGGAACAACAGACATGAAATTTGGTTAGTTTTCTGTTAGGGTTTTGTGTGATCAACCAGCAAACTGTCTAATAATTTGAAGGGTTTATACTTTTACAATCCCTCAACAGTCACATTATTGAACAACAAATACGCGCTTGATTTCCTTTTGACATTGCTGACCGCTGACTGCTGTTACAAAGTTAAGATGAAGGAAACATTATTGAACAACGAAGATGCACTCGATTTTCCATCGCCATTGCCTCGTGTCAGAACAGAGCTTTGTTTGCTTCATTTCTTCTTGAATAGGAAATGAACAACCATCCATTCTTCTCCGTTGTTGTACCCGAAGAGTTCTGCAACGGAAATGAAGAATGTTCGCCAATAAACCGTCCACTTCACGGCTGAATCCTTGCCGTAAGTTGACTCCATGATCGGTTTTATGGAAGCCGTGTTCCGATCCATTCTTTTGAGCCACTCTTCACTGCAACGTAAAAGGGTTTTCATTTTTCGGTCATAGAGTTCTGTTTTTGGTTACGAAACAGGTTAGAGATTTCAAACGTACGCACCTTGTTTGCGCGTAGTGCTTCCCGTTGACGAGCCAATGATTCACAATGGAAACATCATCCTGCACAAAAATCATCACCAAGAACAATCTTTCCTTAATACAATAACGTTATGAAGCGTTCGTAGTAAGATTATTCGACGAGGGAATGATTGAATTCAGAGTTTTTAAGGGATCACCTGGAAATAAAGTAGCAGATTTGCTGAGGGCATTGTACCCCCGCTGAAGAAGTACCTAGTAATCCAGTCATCTTCACTTTTATCCTACATCAGATTCAGGCATGAGAGTTATACATGTAATGCGCACGAAGGTGCTATTAAGCAAAAAAAAAAAAAAAACTTCGTAAGGTTCACCTCAAAGTGGTAAGCAAATGCTTTATGGCAGAAATGATGAACAAACAGAAGGCCGTCGTCTTTCATCCACCCGGATATCTTCTTCAGAAGATCCTTATAGTTCTTCATATGCTGTCAATGCCCAATTCTTCAACCAAATAAACGACTACAAACATCATATCTACCGCATCACACCGCAAGGAAAAACCTTTTACCTCAAACATTTCAATTGAAAATATTCGGTCAAAGGAAGCCTCCATTTCAAACGTGCTGATATCTCCGACGATGATCTCCACATTCTGCAGCTGAAGATTCCTTCAAACAGGAAACAAAACAAATTAGCAGCACATAGTCTAGCAACTCAATCTGGTAAACAATTAATCATTTACGCACCGGCATTGTTCTTCTATAAAAGCTTTTTGTGTCGTTGAGTTGCAGATCCCGGTAACCTTGCAGTTGTTGTATTTCTGCGCAATGTACAAAGACAAAGATCCCCAGCCACACCCAACGTCAAGAACAGTGTGACCATCTCTTATCTGTGACCTTTCACAGTAGAGCTCCAACATTGCTTTCTCAGCATCCTCCAATGTGCTTGACTCATCATTGAAGTAGCAACAACTGCACTAACCCTTATCAATATCAGACAATCTCCCAAAATTAATGGAACTAAAATAGAAAGAAAAGGATAAGATGCGCGGACAAAACTGGTTACAAACTTTTAATCTAAGATATAATAATGCACACTAAACAAACAATAGACTATATATGTGAACCTCGGTTTGTGTTTTTTTTTCTTTCTTGTGTGTGCTTACATCGGAAGGAATCGAACCCTGACGGTGACCTATTCAAATCCTGACCTGTTGAACCCTAGCTCAAACCGTTGTATAATATGCATTGTCATTTAAGTGGTTTAGATCCAAATATTGTTTGTTTAAAAGAAAAGTAAAAATAAAAGTGGCTTGGATCCATCCGTTAAATTGTGTTGGATTCTTCAACGCACATCCCACTCTTAAATCCATCATTGTATGTTATACAATATTATGTAATGTACTTTTTTATTTTTGTAATCAGATCTATTTGTGCATATTTCCGACAAAACAAAACCCAAAAAATACCTATATTTGAGATTTTTCCCAAGCACCATCTTGAAAAAAGATGTGGGAACTTCATAGTGTTGAGCTTTTGGATCATCAGTCTTTATGGCTATGGGCATCTCCTTCAAAGCTGCATAAATTTTACTAAACTTTTACTTAATGACGTCAAAATTTCCAAAATAACATCCAAAGCAGCTACCAGTTGGTACAAATTTGAGACTACAGAGAGGAGGAAGTGTTACGTTACATTGCACGAATTGAAGGAGGTCGGAAAGCTGGAGCTCGGAGGAAGGCCTGTAACCGGACCGGAGACGGCTCGCCAAGAGCAGCCGTGTCAGCCGCCTCACGACGGCGTCCGGCAGCAGATTCCGCTCCAGCGAAGCCAGCGCGAACCGGACGGTAGCATCGTACGGTGCTTGCATTACTCTGTTCATTTCTCCACCGTCTAGCTCTGCTGCTCGCTCGCTCACTGCATGTGATCTTGTCTCCGCTGCTACTGGATAAGATTAGGCGGGGGTTCTGACAGTGTCGTCACTATTGTTGGCTTTGGGCCTGAGCCATTGTTTCATGGGCCTGAAGGAAGGAGTAGAAGTCCAACGTTTGAGCCCATTTGTGCTCACCATCACAGGCCCGAGTCCCGACTAAGGATGGGCAATGGTTATGCAGGCGGGTAACCGCGGTTAATTTACCCATAACCGTTTATGCTCATACCCGCATAACCGTTTAGGGGTTATATCCATACCCATAACCATTTATAAACGGTTAACCATACCCATAACCGCATACTCATTTAACCGTAACCGTTTAATACCCGTTTACCCATTTACCCTTTTTAACCCATTTATCCTTTTCTTTTTTTACCATAACCCATTTTTCACCCGTCTACATGTTTTTTAACAACTTAAAAATTAAAAAAAATTGTCATAATATTAATCCCTCCAAGGATTTTCTAGCTTCTGCTTGTTGTTTGCCTTGTGTTGGCTTCTTAGCCCAGGTTCTGTTGTTCCAGTTTTCAAAAAAAATAAAATAAAATAAAATAGAAAGATGCAATATTCAAATTGAAGAGAGATGATTGTTGGGTTAGTAACCCAACTTTCCATCCCCTGTCATGACACGCCCCGACCCTGATATTCTTTCGAATATCAGGATAGACACGTGCTGGCCGACACCCAAGGTGACGAAAGCCATTAATTGATTACAAGAGCAATGATTAGAAGAAAATATTCATGAATAACATCAGAGTTTAGAATTAATTAACAACATTCAAGAAAATGTCTAGAGTGAACCAGACACAGACTAAAACCAGTTTTACAAAAAGGAAAGACTATTACAAGATGTCACACAAGTGGGTGATAGAGTGCTACTGGTAGGGAAATGCCTCGTACGTCCAGTCGTAATCCTCGTTACTATGACCTGAATGGGGGCGCAAAAACAAAGGTGAGTGGACCAAGTTCATATATATAATAATAACAAAACAGTTATCAAGATACTAACCCCCAAAGTTTATATAAATGAAAACTACTAGCATAATAAGTGATGGATTTAATAAAAAATCCTAGCATGCCACAAATATTTCAAAAGTCACATCGCGGAAATCAAAACAGTAAATGCATCATAAATCGTCTCGTAAATGCGGTGTGCTGCTAGAAAGATCACTGAATAAATATAACTCCCGGCCCAATGCTGCCTGCACCTCAGTCTCTGTGCCCGTAGCCAGAGATAACTCCCTCCCGGCCCAATGCCTGTCTCCGTGTCCCTCAGCCTTTCGCTAGGGATTATTCCTCGCGGCCCACATGCCAACACCAGATCCTCGCCCCAGGCGGCATAGTGTCTACTAGGTACGCACAAATATTTACGTCTCTCATAAATACCACTTCATAGCATAGGTTACCGAATATCGTCTACGCTATAAAGAGGGTTCAAAATCATGTTCTAGTATCCTATCGTCACCTATCAGATAGTCTACTAGATCATGGTTTTTATAGAAAATAGATATATATTAAAATATAGCTCAATATAGGCTAACAATTAACTCCTCACTAAAACACGAGACGATAATCAATATATTAAATTATCCGGCTTCACATAAATAAATCAAATCATAAATCTGTAGGCATGCTAATCATTTATGCATCAAATCATGTAATTTTAGAAGGGGTCCACTCACAAATATTCCTTAGCAGGCGAGTCGTGCGAATAAGGATATAGAATTTCTCCACTAGCAATTTTACCTAAGAACAAGAATGTAATAAATAATTAAAATGATTTTCTAAAAGATTGGTTTTGAATTAAATTAAATAAGGGATTTGGAATTGGATGGGTTTAGGGTTTTAAATGGGTTTTGGGAACCTAGGGCTTTAGGATTTAAAAAGATTTAGGATGGGAATAAATTAGGGTTTGGGCTTTAGCCCAAACATACCTAATAAAACACACACACACACAACTTGCACGGGCCCAAGGCCCTTAGGCTTTACTAACAGAAACAGGGCTTTAAGCCCTTAGGACCTAACCGGCCCAAGGCCCTTCAACATTAAGGCCCGTGGCCTTTTGGGCTTTAAAAACTAGAACTAAAAATAAAAAGGGAATGGGTTAGGGTACTGGGTTTAAACAAAACGGGCCGGAGGCCCGCGAAGGAGATGGGAGAGGCCGGTTGGCCTGTGGCTTGCCGAGAGAGAAGGCCGGAGCTGCTACAGCTCCGGTCACCTGAAAACTGGAGCTTCAAGCTCCGATCTAGGTACGAACGTGAAGTACAAGAAGAGAGGAGAAGGTTTATACCTTCCAAACGTCACAACTCGGTCGGAGGTGACCGGGAAAGCTCTCGGGGTGCACAGGATCACCGGAAAAGTGGGTGTGCTCACCCACGACCGTTCCGAAGCAAAAACCTACGTAAAAAGGTAAGGTTCAAGCTTCTAAATCACAACCAAACCAAGAACTAGGTACGAGAGTGAGAGATTTGAGACCTACCCGACGGGAAAAATGGAGAAAACTCGCCGGAGTTTTGCTCCGTGCCGTCGGTCTCGCGGTGCAGGGATCCCTGGTTCGCTACAGGCCTCTCCTGGGAATGCTAGGGTCCTCGCGAGTCAGGGGGAAGAGATATGAGAGAGGTTGAGAGTGAGAGAGATGCACGGGAGAGTGAGAGAGCTTCGGGAGAGCTGAGGGGGAGAGAAGAAGAAGAAGAAGAAGTCACGGGGGTGGGGGACAGGGAAAAGAAAAGAATGAGGGTTTGATGATTGACACGTGGCACAAGGGGGTGGAAATAACAAGTTTTCTAATTATTTTGGGGGGGGGTGGTCGTAACAATCTACCCCCCTTACAAAAAATTTCGTCCTCGAAATTACATATACCTGAAAAGAAAGTGATACTGGTTCTGCATTGATTCCTCTGTCTCCCAAGTAGCTTCTTCGATCGCATGGTTCCTCCACAGTACCTTTACCAAATGAATAACCTTGTTCCGCAACACTTTATCCTGCCTGTCAATGATAGCCACTGGTTCCTCTACATAGCTAACATCCGGATTCACTTCCAATGGCTCAACTTGGATGATATGAGAAGGATCCGGTACATATTTCCGAAGCATGGAAACATGGAAAATGTTATGGATCTGCGACAACTCCGGCGGTAGCTCCAACCTATAAGCAACTGCACCAATTCTCTCAATAATCTGATAAGGGCCAACATATCGAGGACTCAGCTTTCCTCGCTTACCGAAACGAACCACACCCTTCCAAGGAGATAACTTCAAAAACACATAATCGCCCACTGCATACTCACGATCCTTGGAGTGTTTGTCCGCAATACTTTTCTGTCGATCCTGAGCTGCTTTCAAGTTCGCCTTAATCAAACGGATATTAGCGTTGGTGGTATCCACAATCTCTGGTCCTACCAACGGCCTTTCTCCTGCCTCTGTCCAACATAATGGCGTCCTACACGCCTTCCCGTAAAGTGCTTCAAAAGGCGCCATACCAATACTCGAGTGATAACTATTATTATAAGCGAACTCCACCAGTGGTAAATAGTTATCCCAACTACCTTTCCACTGCAATACAGACACTCTCAACATGTCTTCTAAAGTCTGAATTGTCCGCTCGGACTGACCATCAGTTTGTGGATGATAAGCAGTGCTGAACAGTAATTGAGTACCCATAGCGGCATTAAAGGCTTTCCAAAACCTTGAAGTAAATCTGGGATCTCTGTCTGACACAATAGAGACGGGTACACCATGCAGACGAACAATATTATCCACAAATAACTTCGCCAATTTCTCCAGTGAGTAGGTCTGTCGAACTGGCAAGAAATGAGCGGTCTTGGTAAGTCGATCGACAATTACCCATATACCATCACACCTTGACGGTGTTCTAGGCAGCCCGTATACAAAGTCCATAGTGATATCCTCCCACTTCCAAACTGGTATTGGAAGGTTCTCTGCATCAATCCCCCAGGTCTCTGCCTATCTGCTTTAACCTGCTGACAAATTAGACATCTGCTCACATACTCTGCTACATCCCGTTTCATCCCTTCCCAGTAATAGAAAGGGTAAATGGTGCGATACAATTTAGTACTCCCTGGATGCATAGCATAAGCTGAAGTATGAGCCTCATCAAGAATTTCCCTCTTAACCGCTTCATTATCTTTAGGCACGAACAAACGGTTTCCTTTCACTAACGCTCCGTCCTCACGGATGCTGAACAGATCATTATCTCCTTTCAACACTTGTGCCTTTAATGCGTCGCATTCAGGATCAAGTTCCTGAGCTTCTATGACCATATCCACAAAAATAGGTCTAACCTGAAAATGTGCTAGCCACGCTCCATGTTTACCCGGTTCCAAATTAACACCCATTTCCCGAAGAGAAAACAGTAATGGAACGTGCATGGTCTGAAGTGACGCAAGCTGCTCGTGATGTTTCCTACTAAGAGCATCAGCCACGGCATTTGCATGCCCAGGGTGGTACTCGATCGAACAGTCATAATCACTGATAAGCTCCATCCACCTTCTCTGCCTCAAATTCAGCTCTTTCTTGGTGAACACATACTTAAGACTTTTATGATCCGTAAAAATACGACATTTCTCTCCATACAAGTAGTGTCTCCAAATCTTCAAAGCGAAAATCACCGCTCCTAACTCCAGATCATGAGTAGGATAATTTCTTTCATGAGTTTTGAGTTGTCTGGAAGCGTAGGCAATAACCTTTCCATGCTGCATCAGTACACACCCAAAACCTGATAGAGAAGCATCAGTATACACCTCAAATTCACCACTGTCATCCGGAAGAGCGAGAACAGGTGCTTGAGTGAGGCGTTGCTTAAGCTCCTGAAAACTTTGCTCACAATTTTCATCCCACACAAACTTAACACCCTTACGAGTCAACTTAGTAAGAGGTAGAGCAATTGCAGAAAAATTCTGAATAAATCTTCGATAATACCCTGCCAAACCCAGAAAACTTCTTATTTCAGTAACACTCTTTGGTTGTTCCCAGTTAGATACTGCTGATACCTTTTGGGGATCCACACAAATTCCTTCAGCAGAAACTATGTGGCCAAGAAAACCAACCTAAGTCAACCAAAACTGGCACTTACTGAATTTGGCATAAAGCTGGTCATCCCTCAAACATTTTAGCACTAGCCTCAAATGCTTTCTGTGCTCCCTCGCACTTTTAGAGTAAATTAAAATGTCATCAATGAACACAATTACAAACTGATCCAGATACGGTCTAAAGACTCTGTTCATCAAATCCATAAATGCTGCAGGTGCATTTGTCAATCCGAAAGGCATGACACGAAATTCATAATGCCCATACCTTGTACGGAAAGCAGTTTTCGGGACATCATCCTCTCGAATCCTCAACTGATGGTAACCCGATCGAAGATCAATTTTAGAAAATACCTGAGCACCTTTCAACTGATCAAATAAATCATCAATCCGAGGTAGAGGGTAACGATTCTTCACCGTCACCTGATTCAGTTGCCTATAATCGATACAGAGCCTCATTGATCCATCCTTCTTTCTCACAAAAAGAACTGGAGCTCCCCACGGGGAAGTACTCGGCTGGATGCAACCCTTGTCCACCAATTCCTGTAGTTGAATCTTCAATTCTCCCAACTCCGCTGGTGCCATACGATAAGGTGCCAAGGAAATAGGATTAGTACCTGGGAGTAAATCGATAGTGAACTCAATTTCCCTCGCAGGTGGTAATCCCGGTAAATCATCAGGAAATACATCAACGAAGTCCCTTACTACTGGTACATCTTCAGGACGCAAGGAAGGTTCATCATTCACCACTATGTGGGCTAGAAATCCCACACAACCCTTATTCAGCAATTTTGTTGCTCGAATGGCAGAAATAATACTATTAGGGAGGACACGTCGTTCACCTGTTATTGTCACTGCTGGAAGTCCCGGTCGATTGAACGTCACCGTTTTCTCCCAACATGCGACATTCGCTCGGTGCTTAGACAACCAATCCATTCCCAGAATGACATCAAACTCCGCCAATTTGAAAGGAATTAAATCAACCTCTAAGTTCTCCCCTTCCACAATCACTGGACAATTCCGATATTGCCATTGAGCACAAAATAATTCACCCCTCGGCATTTGAATCAACATATCAAAACCTAGGGGCTGAGGTTCAGAAGGCATAACCCGAGCAAAAGATGAAGAAACAAAAGACTGCGTAGCACCTGGATCAATTAAAACTCTAGCCCAAGCATTACAGACAGGTAACGTACCGGTAATAACTCGAGGATCCTGATCAGCCTCCTGCTGAGTCATGGCATTTATACGCCCATAAGCCTGAAACCCCGTATTATTGTTTCGACCACCACGACCTCTGGAATTACGTCCTGCTCTGTTCCCCTGACTACTGCTACCAGAAGATGTTCCTGCCTGATGCTGGGTCGAAAACTGCGTACTTCGGCTGTCGCTTCCTCTGAAACTCTGGCTACCTCTGCCACCAAGCTGCGGACCTCTATTTCCCCCGAAGTTCTGATTAGTACTGCTACCATAGCTCTGACTACTACTGCCACTGCCATCATAGCTCTGCTGAGCGCCAACATTTTGAACTGGCTGATATCCACTGTAGTTTGAGCTAGAGGGAAAATTACCAGGTGGTGCAGAAGGACAATCACGAACAAAATGCCCGGTACCACCGCACCTGTGACAAACTACAGTGGTCATCCCACAACTCCCTCGATGACGTAACCCACACTGATTACAGACCGGATAAGTCGGAGTGAAATGACTGAAAGATCGTCTCGCTGACTCGCTGCCTGAGCCTTCACTGGAAGACCCGGAACCCCGACCTGGTCGCTTAAAGGAAAAAGAATGTCTAGGGCCCACAGAACTGGAAGGGCCCGCTGCTTCTCTGGTATTCCGCGACCGGAAATTCTGATTCCTCTGATTCTGACTCCGCTGCCTGCTCTGTCTCGGGGGCTGGATCCAAGTCTGTGGCTGATCCTGCATCTCAGTATCCCACTTAGACTGTTCTATGCTGAGACTTATTTCGATTGCATCTTCATAGGTTCTAGGTCTCTGTGCAGCCACCAGTGTACGGTACTCCTGATTCAGTGCAATTAACGCCTGCTCTAACCATGACTGAGGATTATCATACGTCCCATCATGGTGTCTAGACAAACGCCTGAAAGTGCTGTCGAACTCTGTAATGCTGAGATCACCCTGTCGGAACTCTAAGTATTCCTGCCTCTTCCTCAATCTGTAGCTGGGGCTTAGAAAATAAGCAATAAAACGTTTTCGGAAGGCAGTCCAGGTCATCCAAGAACCAGGTGGACGGGAATCCCTCGCTGTTCTCCACCAACTTCTAGCATCACCCTGGATGAAGAATCCTGCAGTACTCGCCCACTCATTTAAAGGACACTTCATCGCCTCTAGAGTATCCTCCATTTTCTCCAACCATTGCTCAGCCTCCTGACCATTCCCCACAGTTGTTAAATCAGTAACTCCGTGGCTTCTGGCAATTTCTATATATACGACCGATTCGGTCTATGACCCGGAAGGGCATTCATTAAGGCATTAGTAAACTGCTGAAGCCCCCCCATAATAGATGAACGAGGTCGACGAGGCACATTCCCACCAGGATTAGCCATGATTCTGACAAAGACAACAACAATATTTAGAAAGACTGAAATTTACCAAATTGGTGGAAAGAAACCCTAACCATGCTCTGATACCAATCTGACACGCCCCGACCCTGATATTCTTTCGAATATCAGGATAGACACGTGTGCTGGCCGACACCCAAGGTGACGAAAGCCATTAATTGATTACAAGAGCAATGATTAGAAGAAAATATTCATGAATAACATCAGAGTTTAGAATTAATTAACAACATTCAAGAAAATGTCTAGAGTGAACCAGACACAGACTAAAACCAGTTTTACAAAAAGGAAAGACTATTACAAGATGTCACACAAGTGGGTGATAGAGTGCTACTGGTAGGGAAATGCCTCGTACGTCCAGTCGTAATCCTCGTTACTATGACCTGAATGGGGGCGCAAAAACAAAGGTGAGTGGACCAAGTTCATATATATAATAATAACAAAACAGTTATCAAGATACTAACCCCCAAAGTTTATATAAATGAAAACTACTAGCATAATAAGTGATGGATTTAATAAAAAATCCTAGCATGCCACAATATTTCAAAAGTCACATCGCGGAAATCAAAACAGTAAATGCATCATAAATCGTCTCGTAAATGCGGTGTGCTGCTAGAAAGATCACTGAATAAATATAACTCCCGGCCCAATGCCTGCACCTCAGTCTCTGTGCCCGTAGCCAGAGATAACTCCCTCCCGGCCCAATGCCTGTCTCCGTGTCCCTCAGCCTTTCGCTAGGGATTATTCCTCGCGGCCCACATGCCAACACCAGATCCTCGCCCCAGGCGGCATAGTGTCTACTAGGTACGCACAAATATTTACGTCTCTCATAAATACCACTTCATAGCATAGGTTACCGAATATCGTCTACGCTATAAAGAGGGTTCAAAATCATGTTCTAGTATCCTATCGTCACCTATCAGATAGTCTACTAGATCATGGTTTTTATAGAAAATAGATATATATTAAAATATAGCTCAATATAGGCTAACAATTAACTCCTCACTAAAACACGAGACGATAATCAATATATTAAATTATCCGGCTTCACATAAATAAATCAAATCATAAATCTGTAGGCATGCTAATCATTTATGCATCAAATCATGTAATTTTAGAAGGGGTCCACTCACAAATATTCCTTAGCAGGCGAGTCGTGCGAATAAGGATATAGAATTTCTCCACTAGCAATTTTACCTAAGAACAAGAATGTAATAAATAATTAAAATGATTTTCTAAAAGATTGGTTTTGAATTAAATTAAATAAGGGATTTGGAATTGGATGGGTTTAGGGTTTTAAATGGGTTTTGGGAACCTAGGGCTTTAGGATTTAAAAAGATTTAGGATGGGAATAAATTAGGGTTTGGGCTTTAGCCCAAACATACCTAATAAAACACACACACACACACAACTTGCACGGGCCCAAGGCCCTTAGGCCTTACTAACAGAAACAGGGCTTTAAGCCCTTAGGACCTAACCGGCCCAAGGCCCTTCAACATTAAGGCCCGTGGCCTTTTGGGCTTTAAAAACTAGAACTAAAAATAAAAAGGGAATGGGTTAGGGTACTGGGTTTAAACAAAACGGGCCGGAGGCCCGCGAAGGAGATGGGAGAGGCCGGTTGGCCTGTGGCTTGCCGAGAGAGAAGGCCGGAGCTGCTACAGCTCCGGTCACCTGAAAACTGGAGCTTCAAGCTCCGATCTAGGTACGAACGTGAAGTACAAGAAGAGAGGAGAAGGTTTATACCTTCCAAACGTCACAACTCGGTCGGAGGTGATCGGGAAAGCTCTCGGGGTGCACAGGATCACCGGAAAAGTGGGTGTGTGCTCACCCCACGACCGTTCCGAAGCAAAAACCTACGTAAAAAGGTAAGGTTCAAGCTTCTAAATCACAACCAAACCAAGAACTAGGTACGAGAGTGAGAGATTTGAGACCTACCCGACGGGAAAAATGGAGAAAACTCGCCGGAGCTTTGCTCCGTGCCGTCGGTCTCGCGGTGCAGGGATCCCTGGTTCGCTACAGGCCTCTCCTGGGAATGCTAGGGTCCTCGCGAGTCAGGGGGAAGAGATATGAGAGAGGTTGAGAGTGAGAGAGATGAACGGGAGAGTGAGAGAGCTTCGGGAGAGCTGAGGGGGAGAGAAGAAGAAGAAGAAGAAGTCACGGGGGTGGGGGACAGGGAAAAGAAAAGAATGAGGGTTTGATGATTGACACGTGGCACAAGGGGGTGGAAATAACAAGTTTTCTAATTATTTTGGGGGGGGGTGTCGTAACATGTCAAACAGCCCCGTATGTGTTTGTGTGTGTGTATATATATTCTCATCCCCTGTCAAACAGCCCCGTATGTGTGTGTCTATATATATATCTATATATATATATTTATTTATTTATTTTAAATATTCAACATTACATATATAAAATAAATGGGTAAATGGTTACCCGTTTATAACCACGGTTAATACCCATAACCACCAATTTAAATTTCACGGGTAAACGGTTATACCCATAACCGTTTAATTATCTAAACAGTTACCCATAACTGTAACCGTGAAATTTAAATGGGCGGGCAACCACGGTTATCCATAACCGCGGGTATTTTGCCCATCCCTAGTCCCGACCCATCGTTAGAGTCTTAAAAGCACAATGATGATTATAACCTCGTAAAGCTGGAACGAGTCTTACCATGAGAGCAACTTCACCCCAAAAAAAAATACGCTAGCATTCAGCCCATTTAATCAACTCAGTAAATAGTGATATATCCTAATGAACAGTGATAGACCAAATGCATCTCCACCCCTAAAAAAAAAAAAAGAGTTTTAACAAAACACTTCTGGTACTGTTCATTTTAAACAAAAAACCACATTTTTACCTTTAACTAGCACTATTCACTATACATTTAAAAAAGATTTTTCGTTAAAAGAGAAGTTTTTTTGAACATTTTGTTAGTTTTCCTAAAATAATAGTCTAGTCAATTTTATTAATTTTTATTATAAACAATAAAAAAAATTATTTTTAATTTCTGACTTTATAAAAAAATATTAATAATTTCTGACAGTTTATTTTTTTTTTGGTAGAAAAATCTGAATTGTTGATCTGAAAATCAAACGATCCTCATTGTGCCATGTCAGTAGCCATTAATTTTAAATTTCAAAATTTTTTTACTGTTAGAAATCCAACAGACATAGATGAGCCACGTGTTCCCATGCTGGAAACCCTATATTGCGCCTGCACAGTGGGCCCTGCCTCTGCGATGCTGTCAGCCACTTGCGGCCACGTGAGCGTGTTTCACATGTGCTTGGCGCAAAAAAAATTTCAGTGGCCTTTGACGTCAGGCTGAAATCAGATGGGCCGTCCCATAACTCAGCACATTTTGGGCTGGCGTGGAGGCTGGCTTGGGCTGTCATCTGGCCTATTGAAGTGGGCTGGAGTGAATCGGCTGGGTGCCGGGGCAAAAAGGATGCTGGGAGCCGGCCTAAGCGGCCTAAGCCCTCCCGCTGCACTTGCTCTGACGACTCCAACTTACTCACTCCACCGTCCAACACACAGAAGACAAAACTTTTATTTTCCATCGCCTTTACAAAATTCGTCACGTTAAACTTTCCCGGAAAATCTTTACACGATTCCCGAGAAAATCCCCAAAACCAACCACACGGCTCTCTCTAGCAAGGCATCCAAATCTACACGACGGAGTTCATCGACTGAGTGCCGAGCGACGTTCCTCCGGCCAAGAGACGCCCTGTCCATGCTGGTACTGCAACTTTGCTGAATTTCTCGTACTGTGAGCATTTCTGATTCGATTAGTCAGTTTCATTGATTCGATTGTGATTCAAAAGTATCTGTATGATTTTAGAAAAAGGTTGAATTATTTACAAGTTTCCATGGTGGGTTTGGTTGGACATGGAGTAATTAGATTAATTTGTTTGCAAAGATAGGATATGATGTCGCAGAAAACTGAGAGTAAGGAAGATTACAGTGTTGGGAACTCTAACAGTGGCCAATTGTTGCGTGACATTGAAGAAATAAGCAAAGCCCTTTACTTGCATAAATCCCCACCAAATGTTTTGCTTTCCCCATCTGATGGAAGATCCAAATCTGCCGGGAAAACCCGTTTGTCGGATTCGAACCCGAGATTTGTTAGGGAAGATTTGTTGCACAAGGACAAGAAATCGTCTTCGGTGTGGAATTGGAAGAGGCCCTTGAAGGCTCTCAGTCATATGGGGAATCGGAAATTTAGTTGTTGTTTTTACCTTCACGTGCATTCGGTTGAGGGGTTGCCTGTGAGTTTTAATAATCTTAGTGTATGTGTGCATTGGAAGAGGAAGGGTGAGGTGCTGCAGACTCGGTCTTCGAAGGTTGTGGAGGGCGTAGCTGAGTTTGATGAAACCTTGATGCATAGGTGTTCTGTGTATGGAAGTAGAAATGGCGCTAACCATTCGGTTAAGTATGAGGAGAAGCTTTCGTTGATTTATGTTTCTTTGAGTGGGGCGCCAGGGCTTGACATTGGGAACCACTGGGTTGATCTTACGAGGCTGTTGCCGCTTACTTTTGAGGAGCTGGAGGGGGGAAAAAGTTATGGTAAATGGACAACAAGCTTTAACCTTTCAGGCAAGGCTAGAGGGGCTAATCTAAATGTTAGTTTAGGATTTTCGGTGATGCAGCATAAGTTAGTTAGTGTGAGGGATAATCCAAATGTTCCTGAGCTTACGAACACGAGGCCAAGAGGGTCAAGTTCATTTGATGGTGGAGCTACGATGCTTCGGCGAGTTGGGAGTGTGCCATGTAATGTAACTCCCAGGCCTGCCTTCTCATCTCAGTCTCTTGATTTGAAGATTTGTCGCGAAGTATTGCTGAATGGAGGGTTGGAGCTCTCCAAGTCAATTAATTTCTTATGTCAGACATTTGATGAGACCAGGTTGAGTAGTGTAACAGAGTCAGATTGTGAACATGTGCCACCACTTGGACCTAAGACTGATATAGACTTTCCGTTTGCTAAAGGAATTGAAGAGTGTGAAGATGATGATACTGAATTTACCATTGTAGAAGTGGGGACAGAAATGTCTGAGAAGGAAGAGTTGCAATCTGATCAAGTTCCTGGTCATGCTAATAATGAGTCAGCAGTTGAAATCATTTATTTAGATGAGATCATTAACGATTATGACATGAACCTCGAGGAGAAGACTATGGTTATTCCAAAGGAAGTCCATGATAGTTATGTGGACCAGGTTGTGGTGGATGACAGCAAACATGAACAAGATAGCATATGCATCAAGGGATCGGCCATGGGTGAGGTGGAGTCTGCAACTCATATACAATTGATTTCAGAAAGAGTAGATTTGGATCCTCCATTTTCTTCAGGAGAGTTTCTTGAGGAAAGAAACCACAAGGAGCTTAGGTCGACTTACAAAGCAAGTAAGACAGGTAAAAAATCACTTAGCTTGGACGATGTTACTGAATCCGTGTCAAGTGATTTCTTAAGCATCCTTGGTATGGACTGTAGCATGAGTTCTGATAGTGATGCCGAGTCTCCTAGAGAACGTCTTTTAAGAGAGTTTGAAAATGAGGCTCTGGGTTCAGGAAACTTATTTTTCGGTTTTGATTGGAAGGAAGAGCAGCCTGAAATTGGATCCTGTGTTTCACCAGGTTCTGATTCTGGTGATTGTTATGAGAATTCTGATTTGTTGTTGATTATTGAAGCTGCTGAAGAAGAGCACAAGAAAGAAAGTGAGCTATTAAGGAGAAGGAAGGCCAAAATTCTTGAAGGCTTGGAGACTGAAGCTTTGATGCGAGAATGGGGATTAAATGAAAAAGACTTTCGGAATTCTCCTTGTACCTTCTCTGGTGGATTCGGTAGTCCAATTGAGCTCCCCCTTGAAGAGCCACTCTTACCTCCACTTGGAGAAGACTTTGGTTCTTATGTTCGGTTGAAGGGTGGAGGCATTTTGCAGTCTATGAATCCTTCACTTTTCAGAAATGCTAAAAATGGTGGGAACTTGGTCATTCAAATTTCTAATCCCGTTGTTATACCAGCAATAATGGGTTATGATGTTATCGAGATAATGCAGCATCTGACATTGGTTGGAGATACGCTGCATGAGTGGGTGAATAAACTAATGCCTTTGGAAGATATTACGGGAAAGACAATACAACAAGTAGCTTGGGAGGCAGCAGCTGCGGCGCCAAACATAGTGGGGTTTGAAAGGTTGTGAGCACAACAACTACATTTATATCTGAAGTATTGTGATTTGAAATATTTCTCTATTTGTTGGCTTACTTCTCGTTTTTGTTTCAGGTTTGAGCAGATTTTATATGGCGGGAGGCAGGATGAAGGATGTCCTTCTAGTTGGAGTTGTAATAACCTGAGTTCCTCCGAATTAGGAGGTAGTGATATGGGGTCAGATTATGTATCTCTAGAATATCTTGCTCCTTTGGCTATGAAAAAAATTGAAGCTTTCTCACTGGAAGGGTTAAGAATCCAGGCCCGCATGTCAGGTGGAGACGCACCTTCAAGTATATATCCCGAGTCTGGAGGTCTGCAACTGTGCGGTTTTGGAGATCATGTTGATGATGCTAAGGGATTATTGGCTCTCTCTTTATCACTGGACGAATGGTTGAGGCTAGATGCTACAATCATTAATGATGAAGATCACAGCAGAGATCGAATGTTGAAAATCCTTGCTGCCCATCATGCCAAGTACACAGATTTGATCGATGGAAATTTGACACAAGATACGAACTGCAGTGATTTATCTGGCCGGAAGTGTGGACTTTTGGGGGACAACCTCACAATTGCTCTCATGGTGCAGCTTAGAGATCCCTTTCGAAACTATGAACCAGTGGGCGTTCCAATGCTTGCTCTAATTCAAGTGGAGAGAGCTTTAGCCAATTTAAAGCCAAAAGTGTCAAGTGTGCCGTTAAACGATAGCAAAGAGAACGTACTCGATGAGCCAGTGTTTGAGGAGTATGGCGACAAGATTAAAGGGGAGACGAATGAAGGAGATGAAGGATGGAACCCTCAGTTTAAAATCATCGACGTCCACCTGTCAGGAGTGGATACTACACCAGGCAAGAGGCTGCTCTGGGGCACCACAACGCAACTGCAGTCTGGCTCCCGATGGTTGCTTGGCACTGGCATGGGTAAGACCACTAGTTTTCCACTTTCAAACTCGAAAGCCCTTGTAAGATCATCCACACTGGTTTCAGCAAAGAAGCATAGAGATTTTTTGTGGAGCATTTCCTCTCATTTCCAAGGAACGGGATATACCTGGAAAGATTCGATTGCTCCACACGTTCGAAACCCGAATGTTATATTTCCGAATGAAAGCATCAAACCACACGTAAACATGTAATATATAGATGTGCTTTCCTAGTACAGATTCTTTTGTTTGTAGAGTGAGAATAGAGATGTTAAGCGGGCCATTTTGCGTACAGGTTTTTATGCGTTTGATAGATTCTGTTGTATTAGACTTCAAATCTGAAACTTCTTGCTTTGATTTCTTTGTTCATTGAATAAATGCTGCTGTTGATATTTTGACGAGTTTTCCTTTATACAAGCGATATTTTACTTTTGACCAATCTTAATTGGGAGCGGAATCCGAACTCAGGATTACGCCCCTGTGTGCCGTTGACTGTTAGTTTGACTGATTACCGGAAACATTTAGTTGGTATCTGCTTTCTTGATGTCCATGACACAACTCAGGACAGGATGTTCGCTCTTTATTAAAAAAAAAATTATTGATATGATGTTTTTAACACTAATAGCTAACGCGTTAATACCAAAATGTGGTACATATTAAAAAAAAGACTATTGACATGATGTTTTTAACACTAATAGCTAACGCGTTAATACCAAAATGTGGTACATGTTACAGATACAAAATCCGTCAATTGAGAAAGTATGGATATTTTGCACAAGAAATTTATAGCCATAACTTTAGTACATATTGGCTCCATGAAACATATGGCAGTCTTTGTTCACTCCACTACGCGAACAAACATTTGGGAAAAAAAAACCTTTTTGTGCCTAAAGTGTTATTGAATTACAAGTCCCATTACTTCAGGCGTTGTCAACGAAATAGACTGCATTTAACATCCTGAGAAGTCTCATCCCTCAAAACTCTAAAAATGCTAAAAAATTAGAGGCCTGGATGGTTATGGACACCCTCATAAGTTGTAATTACAAACCTTGGATCCTCTCTATCTCTTTCAACTCTCTTTTTCACAAGGCACCCTTCAACTGAGCACTTGTAGTAATTCCTGCAATCAAATATATCATTATCAGATCAAATACGTCTAAACATCGCTAAACGTTACATCTAAATCGCATATGTAGGTCAGACAAGTCAACCAGAGCAGTGTGCCCGTCGTTTTACATGTGAGTTTGAATCCCTTCCAATAGATTAGAGTAGTTAAAATTATCGTTTGTAACTTTGTAAAAGGAAAGGAACACATTTGTATTTGATTCCGTTAATTGTACTTTTACTCTATATGTTTTCTTTTACCTTGGATGAGGGCTGTTTTTCACCACCTTTTTACCATACTTCCTCCACTTGAACCCATCATCCAATATTTCAACCTCTGATTTTGTTTTGAATGCAACTCTCTCTCTAGTTTCCTGCCTCTCCCGGCTGCTTCCACTCTCTCCTCCTAAGACACACACACAAAAAAAAAAAAAAAAAAAAAAAGAAGTTAAAAAAAAACAAGAAATACAATTGGAGCTAGAAATGCATTAGAACAAATATATGTATGTGAGTGGATAATTGATTATATGCTTACTGCTAGTAGACAATCCATGTTGGCTGCTCCCTGCACCAGAGTCATCAGCTTCATTTGCTCGAAAACCCGAATTCTGGACAGATAACTCCGAAGCCACGGAACTCGGATCTTCATCGAGCCACTCGCCGATCATCAAGTACTCCGAAAACTCAAAATTCGAGTTGTTGGAAAAGTCGTTAGTCTCAGGTGACTCTACTGACCTGAAGTTGCCACCAGACATTTAGGTATCAAAAAGTATGACCAAACTGAACGTTGAGCATGACCTAAATATATGATATCTCTCCCTGGTTCGAAAAGGAGGAGCAGGAGGTTTCACTGTGACCTTCCTTTGCAATGAAAGGAAGCTTCAAAGCTGATGCTAAGTAGGAGTGCCACGTAGACAGTGACATACATTTATTAAGTTGAAACGAACGAAAATTCTATGATGCTGTAAAGTATTTTATTTGAACAGTATTTTTAATCGTAATTTTTTTAATTGTATATTTGACTAAAGTTATAACTGTTTAAAAACATAAGAATATAGAATACTTTCGAAATATACTAAAAATAAAAAATACTTGAAATAAAATCCATGAAAGATGCAGTGAGGACAGTATAGTGTGTGGAACATGCCAAAGGAGGACTTGGGGGAAGACTTTGTAACTTGAAAGGTCCCGTGTTTAGACCAATCCCAATCCTTCACACTTGAGAAAAATAAATAATAATAATAACAAGGAAACGAATAATATTAATACAAGTCAATTGTGATGGTGACTTGATGCAGTCAGTGCACCACATACGATATTATGGGACCGAGTCATTGGTCTAACGTATTAAGTACCATCCTTATCTTGGAGGGAGGGTTGTTTTGTTTAGACCCTCGTATAAGGTACCTTACATAAGAAACTTACAGATAGGGAATTTAGGTACTCTATGTGTGTGGTTGAATAATCACATGGTCGGACAAATGCTTATGTATAAAATAATTGTACTGCTACAAAGCGTTTTCGGCTATCTAAAAGCCCAAAAGTACAAGAATGATTTAATATTTCATGTTACATGTCCCACACAACTATATAACCAATTAACACAACATATCATGCACATGAAAATGAACTCAATGTTTGGCATGTTATGTTCCACTAGTTTCATTTAATTTCGCAGTCGTACTAAAATGTGAAAAGCATTACCCCTCTCCTTACGTTGGCGTTGCACATACTGTTGCCTCTGTGATTTGATGTGCACATGGGCTCCGTACACAACCTAAAAAGAATGAAGCAAGAACTTGACCAGATGAAAAAGCTTGACCAAATATACTGCTGTAATTGGTCCGGAGGATATAATCTCTAGTGGATGCGGTTGAAATAAGAGGGTGCTTTTGTGTCTAGATCCGGACGACCACACATTTTGATAGTCCAAATTTAAAAATTTACCCCTTACAAGGTACAAGTAAGTTTCCTCGACCTTTCTTCTATACATTAATGTATGGAGCACGCCGCATCTTATACGATACTTAAAATGGAAAGTGTGAACTCGTCACATCCAACAATAACGTTGACAAAAATTATGGACCATTTAGTCTCAGCGCATCAAAATTTTGTTCAAAGTTGATGTTAGACAGACATCAAAAATTAGGCAGCCATTTAATGAAAGGATTAACCTGGGAAGTATGTGAGTAACTTCCAGAGGCAATGTCAAAGGGTCCACTGAATAACTGTCATATTATCATGACATCAATATCAAGTTGGGTAGCTAAGCAATAACTTTGAAAGATAAATTCTTTATCTTGTTTTTATACAAATTAACCAAAACTTTTGATACCAATTTCTTTCTAGAAAAAATTAATGGCGAGATTTAGCGCAACCAATCACGAAATGAAAAATTAAAAACACGCAATCTTTCTTAGTTAGAAAAATTAAAAAAAAGAAGATAATGATTGTAAAATGACTTTTTCAGAACGCTAATAGTAATTATCTGACCAATCACTCAAGTCCAACAAACACAACCCTTTTTTTCGAGGAAGCAGCCTGCAACATCGTAGACTGCGGACAGAAAGGTATACACTTCAGAGTTCCCGACAAAATTCGCCCTTCTCCTGTTCTCCAACAATTTCTGCTATCGTTATGGTCTGCAGTGGGCATCTGCAACAAACTCGTGTGTGTGTAACATATTTGTGCTTCATCTTCGTGCTTCGAGGCCCTCTCCAAATTTCCAGTAGAACCTAGTTTGCTGCTCCGGACAAGCAATGAAAAACTATATCGAATAAGCCGCTCTATGGGAATCAAAGTAAGAAACGATTGTTTGTTAACGGGTAGGTACTAAGCATGTGTGAATAAACTTATCAACCTTGACTGTTACACAGTCCGATTTCAAGCTGTTCTTGCTGAAAGTGAGTTTGTTTTATAATCCACGGAAATCCGCTGATTCGGCTATCTTTAGGTAACTGTTTCTCTTTTAGAGCAGCCATAGCAGCTTTATTAACTTAGCAGGATTATTACATAGAGTAATAGATTTTTCATGGACAAACTGGCAGTGCAAGATACATATCAGGTCTGCCAAAACATATAACAATTTGTAGAACCTGCATATTGGTAATCATTGATTCAGGATCATAGAAACTGAAAACGTATGAACAATTGGTTGTACCTATTAGTGGCACAGATAACAAACACACCCCGTCTCTCGTTTCCACCATCTAACTCTACAAGCCACTGCGACTGTAGACGGTGAGTGAGTTCACTTTATCCACAAATGAGCAATATACGATCGAGCGTGTGCATCGTGTCTTGACGAGCATGAATTGGTTCGAGATTGCATTACCTGGTTTACTAGCCGCTCATTAACGCCTCCCCCTTCGTTGTCACCCCGCTTTGTTGTCAAAGCATCCACCTGCCAATAATTGAGCGGAAAAACACATTAGAAAAGCTACAAAGCTACAATTTGAGGGACACTTCGTACATGAAAACTATGAAATATTAGACACCCCAGGACAAGACACTCATGTTTGTCCGTAGTCCCTAAACACTAAACCCTAAACCTGAAACCCTAAACCCTAACCTAACTCTAAACCCTAACCCTAAACCATGGCAATGTAATGAGTTCGCCAACATTTTTTCTAGAAACTAAATAAAATACCACAACTAACAAAGAAATCCAATAGGAGACATCAATAATGACTTAATGACTGATCTTAGCGACAGCCTTCGCTATCAGTGTTTCATCGCATCCTAGAGCCCCCGTCGGGTTATTTTTGAAGAGATATTTCAATATGTCCTAACATAAGATGAAACAAAACAATCTCTTTTTTAATTGGACAAACACTTGAATTTTTTTTTTACGACATGTGAGAGTTTCGCTCCATGTCCGACGGGCTGAAAAGTTCTATAAAAAATCATATTTTTGGTCCGTGGGTGTGTAAAGGACTACTAAGCCCTATTCTATAAAAGTTTATTACAAACTTGCCCCTACAAGTTTACCCTTTCTAAACAAGCGACGTCGTTTGCAGAAGGGTTACATATATGCAGTGGTTTCCTACCGCCCCTTTCTGTGTGTGCTCTTACCGTGAGCGATGGCGCGCCTAAAGCACAAAGCCGGCCCGCCGCCTGCAGCCGCCGATAAGTCAGAAAACCGGCGTCGTTTAAACATGGAGAGGTCGGCTTACTTCTCCCGGAGAGAGGCTGCGAAGGTATTGAAGCTCGTCCTCCAAGGCGACGCCAAGAAGCGGTCCGTCGGCACCATCAAGTCGCTCGTTTACAGTCCCTCAGTCAGGAACAAGAAAGGCACTTTCGCTTTGGTTTGCCAAACCCTAAAATGTAAGTTTACAACTCTCACCGCATTCAGAAATGCAAAGTGAAGTTATTTTTTATTGGCTTACTTTCTGTTTGGCTGCCGAGAAAATTTGATTTTCCTGCTGATTTCAGATCTTCAGATTATCCAAGAGGTCTTGAATGCTGCCGAAGTACTGAATAGCAAGTGGAAGGTATCAAAACGTCTTCTTTTTTATTCATAATAACAAGCAATTTGAACTCTCAGGCACTGAATTGCTTAATTCTGATGTTGCAGAAGCAAGATGAGTTGGTTTACATAGTCACCTACGACATCCTTTTCGGTCAGGTAATATTCGTTATGAACTTGAAACAGCATTTGATTTTCTGCCCCTAATTTTGTGACTGTGGTCAATTTTTGAGGTGAAATTTGAATTAACGAAAAGCTTCTGATACTGTTTATTTTAACGAAAAATCATATTTTTATACTATAAAAGCAATCTTGTTACTATTCATTTTACCCTTTATTTTGTTCTTATCGTTAAAACTCAAAGTTTTGAAGCCTTTTTCATGAGTTTCCTTTAAATTTATATACAGGTGAGTTCATCTGCAATAGGTGATGCGGAGAAGTATCTCATGCGTCGCCAAGAAGCTCTGCAGTCCGCTCTGGCTCGGCTTTTGGTGAAGAAAAAAGTGAAGAAAGTTGAAGACTTGATAGCTCTTTATGAAATTCCCGGTGTGTGATTTTACAGTGTTTTTAGTTTCATCCTGTTATTCCATCTCTTCAATTGTATACTACCATAGTGGAATTGGTAGAAACAGAATGCTTTGCAATGTTCATTTCATAGAATCCAAGGGAAATCTTAAACTGTTAGGATGCGGACTGATGTTACCTTTCGTTCTAACATCATTGTCGTGTTGCAGATATCTCAATACCTCGTCATGTTCGAGTAAATACTCTGAAAATGGATGTTGACACTGCCTTACTCGAATTAAAGAAGCAATTTCAGGTATTTCCTCAAACTTTGTCGTTAATGTTTTGTAAGAATGTAATTACGTTCAAGTGTACATCACAAAATTTAGAGGTAATCTTATGGTGGAATGGGTGAAACATCAGACTAGGCTATCTCTACTGAATTAAACATGTGAAGCCGCAACAATTGCCGATAACCTAATATCAAATGAATGTGTTGCAAAGACCAATTTTGAACATTGAGAAAGAATGTGTTGTGTGCTTTGTTATGCGTTTGTATTCTGTAGTTTCTTTGCCGTGTTACTGAGACAGTTTTTTTCTTACATAGGTTCAAAAGGATGACCTGGTTCCTGACTTGTTGATTCTTCCACCGGGTAGTGATCTTCACGATCATCCTCTAATAAAGGATGGAAGTATTTTTATGCAAGTAAGAATTATCTAATATTGTTATTAGTACTTTCCTCTTAAAATTTCAACCAACCTTGTTGAAGGATGATGTAGAAAATTGTCTAAATCGTGAAGGATCCATTTATCTTTTATCTGGATGAGTTATGTTTTAACCATTTCTTTAACAGGGAAAGGCAAGCTCTATGGTGGCTGCAGCCCTTGCTCCGAAACCAGGATGGGAGGTCGGTAAAGTTTGTACATCGCTAATTATTATGAACTTAAGTTGGGTTAATGTTTTGCGTCAGTTGTATTGAGTTTTGGTTTTAAGATTATACCACAGTTTACGCCAATTAAATATGATTTCCTTTGAAGGTTCTTGATGCATGCTCGGCTCCTGGAAACAAAACTGTGCACCTTGCAGCTCTTATGAGAGGAGAGGGAAAAGTGATAGCATGTGAACTGAATGAAGAAAGGGTTAAACGTTTAAAAGAGACTATCAGACTTTCTGGTGCTTCTAGTATCCTTCTGCCTTCATCTTTCCGTTTACTTTCTGTTTGTTCTCTTTTCCTTGAAAGTAGTGGAACTACGGCAATCTAACGAGTAATCTGAAATATGATACATCGTTATGTTTATGTTTATAATGTTTAGATTATGCCGGTCGCTGATCATATCTTGTGCTATTGTAGCATTAACGTATCATAATAAGCCATTTGACTTAACTTGGGCTTAGATATTAAGGTTGTGCATGGAGATTTCTTAGACTTAAACCCTGAAGATCCTCAATTTTCCAAGGTTAGAAGACTTAACTTCCAAACCGTCGTTACTTTTCTCCTCTTGGTTGCAAACTCGCATTTTACAATGTTTCAAATACATTCCCTTCATGCTTACAACAAAATTCAATGTTACAGGTCCGGGCCATTCTTTTAGATCCTTCCTGCTCTGGATCTGGGACTGCTTCTGCAAGATTAGATCATTTGCTCCCATCTTCTGCTCCAGGTGCCCTTTAGATAGCTTCTTGTAATTGCTGAATTTTACCCAATTAGATATTTCTACTGGTATATCCGACCAACAAAAAAATTAAAAAAAAAAATTTACGCTGTCGCAAGATGTGCGTAACTCTTATTCAATATGCAAGGAAGCTTATTTAACGTTCCCAGATCATTAGTCTGCTTGTGCAGAGTTACGAATTGATCGAACATCTATGTTCTTTTAAAATACGTAGGTCAGGGTGCCGATTTTGCCAGCACAGAAAGACTTAACAAGCTCGCCGCCTTTCAGAGAAAAGCACTGGCTCATGCTTTATCTTGTAAGTTTGTTTCTACCATCAGTTGTTTACCTAAAAATGTGAGGGAAAAAAAACGTTTTCTGAATCCCAAAATCGTGGCCAAAACTTGATCCTTTCTATCCAGTAGTCGCTCAGATACCAATTATCTACTGCTTGCTTTGTTCAATTCGTTAATAATCCGATTTATTTCAATCATATGAATTGATGTGTGTACCGCTTTTGCCAGTTCCGGAGGTGGAGAGAGTCGTTTACAGCACATGCTCTGTCAACCAAGTCGAAAACGAAGATGTCGTTAAATCTGTGCTACCACTTGCTGCATCCAATGGTTTCCAACTGGAAACCCCCTTCCCGAAATGGCACCGCCGTGGTCTCCCCGTTATCGAGGGCGGTAAGTAGCATCCTTAAATCTTGACAAAATGTGACAACATGTTCAGATAGCGTCTCAATCACTGCCGTTATCTTGCCCTTGCAGCCGAATGCTTGATTAGGACCGATCCGAAGGAGGACAAAGAAGGCTTCTTCATCGCTCTGTTTTCCAGGAGCTCCAGCAACCAACAGGAGGCGCCTAATGGAACCGGCAGAGACGCCACCGAAGCCTCGAAGAGGCAGAGAAATTATGCAGTACCTCATCTCAATCTGTTTAAAACGTGGACACATGCGCAACGGATGTGGCGTAATAATTCCAAACACATTCACAGTCATTGCCATTGTTGTTGAAACATCTAACTCACCATTGTTTCAAAAGCCTTTCTTCTAATCAAAATTTTGTAGTAGTTGAGACAAACTAAACCTACGATTCTGTTCTTCATATGATGTCGTGTAATTTGTTGTCCGATGATTCAATTATTCGGGTCCGACCATACACTCCTATTTTACTTCTCATATACTTTTGATAATTTCTATTCGTTCATCTTCTTCAGTTCATCAGATCTGACAATCAAAAATTAAGATGTCGGATCGAAAATTAAAAAGATGGGTAAAAAGTAAAATAAGATTGTAAATATCACTTCCCTTCAATTATTCGCGTCATTTATTCCGCTAATGCACATTTTTTTTACAGATTCTGTTAAAGATACCAACAGAAATCGAAAGGATTAACAGAGATTGAAGTAGGTATTAATACACGATATGCTTCATTGACCTGAAAAACCAAACATGCTTGGAACACCAAAACACAAAGAAAACACGTACACACCTTCAGTAATTACAACGAAGCACTAAAATCTACCCGCAAACCATTAATTTATAGTCCCCGCATGATTACTCTCAGAACCCAAATCACAGGAACAGCACTCTAAAGTCTCAACCGATCTTGACCTCGATTGTCTTCGGCTTCTTTGGCTCCGGTGGCGGCAGCTTCTCAACCGTCACAGTCAGAACCCCATCCTGGCAAACAGCAGAAATCGCATCTACATTCGCATTCTCCGGCAGCACAAACTTCCTCATGAACTTGCCAACCCTCCTCTCCATCCTCACGTACTTAACCCCTTCCTTCTCCTCCTCCCGCTTCCTCTCGCCGCTGATCAGAAGTACATTGTCGTCCTCCACCTGGACCTTTATGTCCCCGGACTTCAACCCTGGCATGTCCACCACGAACACGTAGGAGTTAGGGTACTCCTTGACGTCGGCTGGCGTCGCGGCCATCGCCTTGGCGTCGCGGACGTAGGTCCGGGTGGGGGCGTTGAATGACTTCTCGGCGTCGTCGGCGACGTCCATGATGTGCTGCAGTGTGGAGAAGAGTGGGGCATCAAAACCGGGGATTCTGATGTCCATTCTTCGCTTCTTGGTGGGTGGAATTTTCGCTTTTCGGTGTTGATTTGCAGGCTTTGGTGAACTTTTGAGTAGGAATTTCTAGTCGCTGTGATGGAGGGGGGCGGTGGATGCGTACTTATAGGAGGAGTTGAGTGGGGGACGCGGGTTAGCGGGAAGGGAAGAAGGAAGGTTCTGGAGACACGGGGAATATAGCAGGGGGTTCCAGTAGGTTCGTCTAAATTCTAATTCTTCTATGAGCGTCTAGAACGGTTTGGAAGGTTTAAAACTTTTACTAAAGGCAGTGCTTCTTTAGTCATTCTCCAGATTTTTTGGGAAAATAAAAAGGACAATATTTGGAAAATAGTATTAAATAATAAAGAGGATTATTGGTGGCATTCCAATATTTTATTTTGCAATCTAAAATTTTTATAACTAGAAATATTACATTTGTGAATGTACAAAATGAGATTTTTAAAATGCTAATAACAGTTCGAATACCAAATAAAAATTAAATGGACATTTTAATTGCCAACTAAAGGTATTTTTCTAAGTTCAAATTATATAGAAGGAGAAAAAAAATTCTTCCCATGGTGAGAGCTTTTCTCTCAAGTTGAGAGGTATTTTCAGTTTCTGTGTGAGGCGTTCAAACCAAAGAAAACTCGGTGATGCCTGCCCTAGCTTCGGCCGAGGGTCGGTTACTGTTTCCTTCTTACTTTCTTTCTCTTTTGTTTTCCTAGCTTCTACTGCTTTGTCTCCCAAATTTCTACTCCGATCTTTTCTTTTCCTCTATCTCCAGGGTATTACTCTTCATGGCTCTTTCTTGCTCCGATGTTCTTCCATGCATCCTACTAAGATCGTGCGTAGACTTCCAGCACATCCACCAGCTCGGGTGTGTGCAACACCACCACTTTCTCTTTGTTGTATGTCAGTTCCAACAATGTCGTTCATGGGTTTCCAAGAGCTTCATATTGATAATTAGCTTCTCTCGCTTAGTTGTCGACTATCCCTAATTTATGGTTGTGCTCAGGTAGCGAATCAGGGTTTATATGGCGTCTGTTGAGGCGGTGCTCGGCGGTGGACAAGGAATCATATGGATTGATTGGCACTAGAATGGTGAAGAAAGCTGTGGAAAGCTGTTGAAGCTTCTGGTCTCAGATGCTTGATGTTAAGTTTGGGCCTAACTGTTTTTGGGCTCATTTTGTATTTTCTAGTGTTTTAGGCCTACTTTTGTTTGTTGATACTCTTTGGGCCTTTGGTGTGATGTATGCTTGTTGTTGGTGTTTAATAAAATAAGCTTTTACCTCTATATATATGGGGATAAGAAGTTGAGTGAACCTCCATAAATAGTGTAAAAATGATCACTCTAATTTTGTTCACCATAACCAGTCTTTTAGTTAATTGTGAGCCAGCGAGGCAAGGCAACTCTAAATTAGGAGAGACTAGCTAGGCTGCCCGCGCGTTGCTGCGGTGCTATACTTTTGTAATGAAAAAATTTCTGGTACAAAGAAGAACATAGATAGATATTATGTTTTTATACTAAGAAAATAGATAGATATTAGGTTTTTAAATTGACTTTGTACTTCACATTTCTATTATAATGTAGCAGGAAAGAAATTGTAAAACATTGTAAAGAGGTTGCCGAGAAAAGTAAACATTGTTATGTAGGAATCAATACAATTGGATATGTAATAGCTGAATAAATAGGGAGGAAGGCAAAATGACGCGATACGCACCATAGTTTGAAGTTCATCGGTTGAGAACGGGTTACAGTAGTGGTCCATGCATAGATATTTTCTAGAGGTACTCGAGTCAAACTGTCAACAAACAATCATTTCATTAGTAAATGCGGATTGCTGAAGTTGGGCTGAAAATGATAAGATAGTTTACTAATGATGATAAAAGAGAGACTGGCGTATGGGACCTTTAGTGTTTCACCCAAAAGAATGTAATGAATTTATCCAATGGATAAATGTCAAGGCATTCAAGACTTTTCATTGAAAAATTGACACAGTTTAAAGGCATTACTCTAAACATGCTTTGCAAGTGATGAAAACCTGACCAAGTTGATATCAATCACAAATCCGAAGCAAAACACTTAAAACGAATATGGTTTAACAGGTTTAAAAACTGTGTGCTAAACCTAATCATGAAGGAAAAAATGCTGTGAAAAAAAAATGAAAAAAAATAGGTTAAAACTAAGGAGAAGCAGGAAAAAAAAAGAGATGAATACGTTTGTTTTCCATGTGAGGTTTTTGGGTCGATGGAATTTTTGTGTACAGAACAATGGGATCAATTAAATTTTGGTTCTTGTGTTTTAAGACCAATCCCACCTCAAAAAATAAGAGTAAATTTGTATTGAGACCACAATGATAAAAATGGATAAGTTATACACGTGGATGGTTACAGAGTTATGGGCTGACCTGGTTCATGAAGAAAAATAAGAAAAACTTAAATATTGACAAAAAAGATGAAGTTTTTTAATGCCGTAAGTGACCATATCAGTATCTATTGAATAAAGGATTTTTTAGAAATGCAAAACGAAAAAATGTTGAAAAAGAAATTAAAAGTTGAGAGTGATTATACCTTGAAGACGGCGAATAGACACAGTTCTTTCAGATTGATTCCAATTTGGCTGTAGGAACCTGAAACAGATCAAATTGTAAACATTTTGCACCAAGAATTGGATATAGAGAGAGACACAAATATTGTTTCCAATGAATAAAAGTGAGTGCAAATATAATCGTTTCACATATGATAAGGTAGGGAAAACGACGGTTGACATATTGGGATCTGATGATCATATGTTAAGAACAATCGATAACGGTGATTAATACAAAATTGTAGCTGCTAGTGGTTAAGATTGAAACAGAGAGGTAAAACATACTGATGCTAAATTTTATTTTAAAGGTTGGTAACAATGGAACGATGCTGGATATGATTATAGCCCACGACGAAGTTACTTTTATAATTATTTATTGGCTAACATTGCATTCATGGTATAGTTAAAGGTTTTTTACGTTTTTAGCGCCAATTAAGTTTGGTTCCAATGGGTATAGAACGAAAATAAAATGTTTGGGGTTAACATTGAAACAATCTAAAGATTAAATCTGATTAGAACAGTTTAAAACCAAAGATATCGCTTGAGAAATAGATTGGGCGATCAGATTATCCAACGAAAGATTATAAACTGAGGACAATGGGTTGCACAAAAAGTGAAAGAGAAAGTGGGTAAAAAACGGAAAAAAAAGAGAGGGGGGAGGCAGCAACAAAAAGTTTAACAGAAAAGAGAAACTAACTAATGTCCTAAACGGATTATATAACCTTCAATAAACACCGATGCTTCTTGAAAGTGAAGAACAATGAAATCAATCAGTGATATCAACCATCTGATTACAGAGACAAAATCTGCAGGATCACAAAAAAGAGAATTTAAATGTAGAGAATATATCCGTAAATCAAAAATTCCAAAAAAGAAAAATAATGAATAAAAAAATGAGGTATATCAAAGAAAAGAAACCTTACCAAAGCTCGCCCTAATGTCTAATCTAAATTAGAGAACACTAACCCATAAGACAAAGTACTACATATTTCTTAGGAAATTACTTTGTGGTGGAGGCTATATATTTAAGTGATAATTTCAGTAACCTGTTGCTGAACCTTGGTTTATCAAAACATAATAAAGTAAAGTACATAGAAAAGGCATCGTTAAAATCTTTCCTAACTATAAAGTACCTGAACATTTTTTTTACTCACACCAAGGGACATCACAAAGTAAAAGGAACTAATAGCCCAAGTAATTGGTTAATGTCCTGTAAACCTTTCACTTGTTGTTTATATGAGATATGGCTGCAACAAAAATAAATATGGTTAAAATAAATTCAACCAATATGGCATGGAAACCATGAAAAATAATCATATGAACTGAGTCAATTGACCGAAAAACACAACACAAAACGCATCAAACCACCAAGAAAACAGAACAAATTGATGTCCAAAGTCTGGGGTAAACAACAAACACAGAGACTTAAAAATTAACAAAAAAAAAAAAAAACAGTGACAATTTATCAAAAATACACCCAAAGAGTTAGTGAAATGAGATACAGATTATGCAAGCATTCATAAAATAACATGAATAAATAGAGGACAAATTAACAACTCACCCCATTGAAATCAATCGAACACTGTAATCTTCATCTATATTATGCAAGCATTCATAAAATAACATGAATAAATAAAGGACAAATTAACAACTCACCCCATTGAAATCAATCGAACACCGTAATCTTCAACTAACAAAACAAACAGTGAAAAATCAGAAAAAGCAAACATGCAAGAATAAAAATTAAATAAAACCAAACACCAAATCAATACAAACCCCAATTTTATTTTATTTTATTTTCCTCCTATTAGACACCAAAATCCAAATGGATCTGGCCCCATATGAGCTCCAATTTCTCACCATCCCAGGAATACTCAGAGAATCCACCTCCATCCATTACATAAAAATTAGAAAATTAAAAAAAGAAAAACCAGAAAAGGAAAAAAAAAAAAAAGGTGTACCTCATGCCGCTGCTCTTGAAAAGCCAGAAAAATTAGATCACCCTAAATACCAAGCAAATATATAAGCAATTCAATAATCACCAAAGAGAAATCCACCATGCATGAAATAAAGAAATTAAACAAAAAAATACCGAAAAAAGAAAAGGGTACCTCATACTTCCAGTTCCAGTCCTGGAGAGCCAATTTTGTAATTTTTTTTTTTTAGAAAAGTGGAATTACACAGAGTGGAATGAGTGAGAGACCCCAGTTGCACAGATTTTTCTTTCCCTTCCAGATGACCAACGCGTACAGAAACCCCAAGAGAGCACCACAATTGGCACACAAATAAGAAAAGAACTCGAGAACGGCGATGGGGGATGCCCTTTCTAAGATCGGCGAATGGAAGCAAATGGTTTTTCCACTGCTTTCGTCGGCGATGGGGGATGCCCTTTTCTTTCCGCGATGACCAACACGTGTAGACGTGGAGCAGAAAAGAAAAAAAAGCGATTGCAGGAAATGGAAGGCAGAGAATGAAACAGCAGAGAAATCCAACAGGAAAGGCCATCAATGAAGAACACGTGGCCAGCGAGGACAAAGTGGTCATTTCACTGTGTAAAAGAGGCCACCCAACGGGTGATCAAGAAGAAACTGAGGGGCAATTTCGTCAAATCATTGTTAATGAACAGTGTTCAGAAACTGAGTTTTAGTATATAATTTATATGTACCTAAAAGAGTTTGAACATCACATGTTATTATACAAACTAATGTTATAATTTATAAGAACCGAAAAACAATGTGCAGCCGAAGAAAAATGGTGATAGGGATTTCTAAATTTTATTTGACATAAGGAAGTAGCATATGTATAGTTTCACTAGTACTTGATTTGCAACGCTTAACCAGTACACTTATTTCGCTAATATATAGTTTCACTCATGATACTCGTATTAAGAGCGTGAGACAGACATTAACGCAACATGCATCATTCGCAAATAACACACGACCACAAAACCATGCACATATATGACCACAAAATCATTATCAAACAGATACGCGAGAATGAGAAGAAATGAAAGGGAGGGACGACAGACAGATGGATGTCGGGTTGGAGGCCGGGATCGACTACTTGTCGGACTGCCACTATCAGGGTGGGCAGTAGTTTTTTTCTCTATTTAATTCCTTTTTTAATTTTGTTTTGCAGCGATAAAATTGATTCAAGTCCAGCTATATAAATAATGAACACGACCAATACCACAGGTATTACGTATTACCTCATAATTTCAAATGTAAACACTAAAATTACATTATAAATCCACATAATGTGTTTATTATAGATCCACATATTAAACGACACGACACTAAGCATACATATACCAAAAGGAAGACTGCAATACATACCGACATGGTCAGGAGAGATTTTTAGTATGACCGTCACACGGGATGGTACACTACGTGTTATTACATAAATAGTGGGATATGTGTGTCAAAAAGTTAATAACTTAAAAAATATATTTTTCCATACTTACATAAAAACACGTAGTGTACCATCCTTATTCTCATCATAATTAAAAATTTCTTCATGCTCAGGACCACATCCAAGCTTTCCTTCCTTTCTCTTATTTTTGTGAAAACCCAAAAGGCAAAAACCTAGTGAGGTAGACATGACCAAAGCATACGAAATTACAGACACAGAAAACCACAAGGAACGATGCGTGCATGAATGCATGCAACTTTATTTACACACATACCATCACCAATGGTGAGCAATCACAAACTAGAGAAATTTTTAATTGTGACAGGAATACAAATGGTATATCATGTGTTTCTATGCAAATGGTGTAAAACTTTAATTTTTAAGTTATTAACCTTTTAACACACATAACCCACTATTTATATATGAACCCGTGGTGTACCATCTCGTGTGACGGTCACATTGAAAAATCACTCCACAAACTGATCGTGCAGACCATCAGAGCAAGCGGCGACGCGGCTCCGCGACTTTCCCTTCTTCTCCTTGCCCGCCTTGGCTTCCACCTTGCCATTCTTGACCACCACCTTGGCGTCTTCCTTGCCATTCTTGACCACCACCTTGGCGTCCCCCTTGCCATTCTTGACCACCACCCTGTCCCCCTTGACCACCACCTTGGCGTCCTCCTTGCCATTCTTGACCACCACCTTGTCCACCTGGGCCGCTACCTTGACCATGTTTTCCTTGGCCACCGCCTTGCCATTCTTGACTGCCACTTTGGCCAACTTTGCCTTCTTGGCCGCCGCCTTGACCATTGCTTATTTGGACTTGAATATGTAAGAGTATCAATATGATTCTTACAAGTCTTGAGATAATTGATATTATAAATAAGTCTAAATCATGTTGACAAGAGTTAACCAATCATATTGGTATATTGAGGACTCTTGTGTTTGCTCATTTATAGGACTCATATTGATATAAGGAATGCAGTCTTGTGTTTTTTGTGGGATTGTTATAGGGCAATCCAGGTCTTGTAGTATAAAACCACAAGCCCCTGCTCTCACAAAACACGCTCTTATTGTTCCAATTACCTATAACTTGGAGAGCCTTGAGTTTTGCAGAGAGGAGAAGGTTGTGTGCAGGTTTTCATGGCTTCTTATCCATGAACGGGTCTGCAAGTATGTGTAATATAATTGCTGCAATTCTTGCACTTATACTACATACATAATTTAAGGATTGTGATTTAGTTGATTAATCCTTGTGTTCTTGGCTAGTGTATTAATCTTTTAAGTCTAGTTTATTCTTACATGTGGTATCAGAGCCATTGGATTTTACAACTAAATTCGATCATAAATTGGTTCCTAAAAAACTGCAAAAACGAACTAGTTTGAAGAACAAGTCCGTTTAATTGGTTTTTAAAGACAAGTGGTATGACATCGTTTAAGAAATAACCTTTAGTTCAATTTTTGACCGTGGTCAGTTTGGAAAGGGAGAAACTCGTGTTTTGTCAATATGGGGTTGAGAAAACTTTTTCATGCTTGCTTATTTGATCATCTCTCTTAAACATCATAATTCTAATTTTTGAAATTATTGCTTCCGCTGTGTTGATTATGATGTCTGCAGATTGAGGTGATTTTGGTTTATTAATCCTCCTTGTGTTATTAGTGTAATGAATAAACTTGTATTTAGATCAACTAATTATGTTGTTAAAAATCATTGAACGAAGATCGTGTTATCTTTCTGATTCTTCATATTGATATTGACTTATTCGTTGTTTAATTGTTTTCTGTTTTAATTGAAACTGAAATCTACATCTGCATTAAGAGTTATCCCTTCACTGATGAGTTGTTTAATCTATATATACTTTTCATTCATGATGAAAAATCTATATATATGACTGTTGATGCACAAAATCAGTGGGGACTTTGGTACAACAGAAAGTGTTAAGTTTGTGACCTTCGCTAGATTGCTCCGGTCACTAGTGTGGATAAGTATGTAAATGGATAGAGACAGGGAAGCAAACACAAGATGTACGTGGTTCACCCAGATTGACTACGTCCACAGAGTAGAAGAGTTCTCATTAATTGTGAAGGGTTTACATAAGTACATAGGTTCAAGTTCTCTTTTAGTAAGTATAAGTGAATGATTTAGTACAAATGACATTAGGAAATATTGTGGGAGAATGATCTCCTTTTATAGAATAGAGTTTCTAGCTTTGTTCTGACATTGACACGTGTCGTGTTGTGATTGATTTCTGTTGTTGACACGTGTCGCACTATGATTGGCTTTTGATGTCGACACGTGTCGTGCTGTGATTGGCCTTCTGGTTGGAAGGAAACTCTTCTGGGTCCTTGATGGTATAACGTTGACTGGTGCTCAGTAGTTTCGGGATTGGTCAAGTATTGTACAAACAATGACTAAGTTGGTTCATATCAGTGTGCATTAAGTGAAAGTAGATTGAAATCAAGAACTTTTGGTTCTCCTTTTGAGATTTCAATTGTCTGCAATTTCACTTAATCTTGCAAGTGTGCTTATTCCCATTGGGGAAGTAATTACAAGAGTGGAGGCAAGACATTGGTTTATTGCTGACTCTCAATGATATGGGGTCTACGGTTGTCTGCAATGAAGGCAATCTGCATGGATAGGTCTCAAGCATTGATGGATAATTTGTTTCATTTATTTGGAGCCAAGGAATTGCAATCGGGTTGACGAATATGGATCCAATGATGCATTCAGGTAACTTGGTTCACTGTATCATGCATGATTAATTGTTCTCTTATACGCATGATTATAATGTGATGAGTTTGAGCATGATGAATTAGGGCTTTTGCTATTTTGAGTATGCCTGTTTAATTATATACTGTGAGGGCATGATTAAACTCGAAATCCCTATGGATGCCAACTTGTGATTTGTGTGGGATGTTTGAAATCATCTTTTGATGCATAAATAAGTTAGTGTAACATTTAGTCTATGTATACTCTTTATTTTTTTGTTGATGCACAAAATCAGCGAGGACTTTGGTACAACAGAAAGTGTCAGGTTCGTGACCTTCGCTTGGTTGCTTCAATCACTAGTGAAGATAAGTATGTAAATGAATAGGGACAGGGAAGCAAACACAAGATGTACGTGGTTCACCCAGATTGGCTACGTCCACGGAGTAGAGGAGTTCTCATTAATTGTGAAGGGTTTACACAAATACATATGTTCAAGTTCTCCTTTTATGAGTTCTAGTGAATAATTTAGTACAAAATGACATTAAAGATTATTGTGGGAGAATGATCCCTATTTATAGAAGAGAGTTTCTAGTTTTGTTCTGACATTGACACGTGTCGTGTTGTGATTGGCTTCTGATGTTGACACGTGTCGCGCTGTGATTGGCTTTTGATATCGACACGTGTCGCATTGTGATTGGCCTCTTGGTTGAAGGGAAGCTCTTCTGGGTCCTTGACGGTATAACGTTGACCGGTGCTCAGTAGTTTCGGGATTGGTCAAGTATGGTACAAACATTTTTCATTAAAGAGTCTATAGTTCTGATTAAATTAATCTTGGTGGAGGATAAAAAGTGTTCATATACAACACCTATCGTTCTCTTTTGTCTATTTGTTTTGGGCCATATATGATGAATATCAATTTGGAATGGAATCAATCTGACTGCACGAGTACTCCATGAATTGATATTGTCTGGGCAAGTATGCTTAATGACCAAGCGTTCCTAATACTAAACTAATGGAATTTGGATGCCATTGTTTGTATTTATGATACATATAATTAAAAGCATTGGTCTGTTTTGAATTATTAAAAAAAAAAAGTATAATTCATATCCCTAGTTTTGGTTAGACTACATATAATATGTTTTGGGGGTGTTGCCGTACATATGAATGGTGGAGTTAGGAATCTTTGGATTCGATAAATGTCAATTTTTGCAGTGTATAACCGAAAACATGTGAAGGCTCTTGTATTTATACCTTGTATGGAATGATATAAATTGTTTTGGTGAAGCCTTGATTGGCAATAATGCATTCTATTTCGCTGTGATAGTGGAACTCATCAATTGGCAAGATTTGGTATGGAATTTTCGTTTCTCGTTTGCTTCTGCTGCTCTTAATGAAAATTTGCTGATTAATTGGTATGTATCCTTTAATTCATATCTTATGCGATCTCAAAGTTCATAAGATATTAATTTTGAAATTTTGACAACTTATGGGTTTTCCATTGATTGGAATTGTTTGAGATTTTGAAGCGTCAATTAGTATTTTTGCAATTGATTTTTGGACTAGATTGAATTATGATACATGTCAATCTTGTTAAAGAATTATTATATGTAAATCATATTGTTGAAAAGTTGAGATCTTGATTATCTCGTTTTAATCGAGATAACTTGTGCTTCTATGTCCAAACATTATCAATTTTTAGTTGATCTTGCTCGATGGATATTGAACTAGTTATGATCAAATTGAATGCAAAAATATTGTGCTTGCTATTCTGATTTTGATCATTGTTGAAACTAGTGATTTTGGGTTTATGTGAGATAAGTTTTTCCGAATGGATTGTGACTATCTTTTGATACATAGACTGTTTGCATAATGGTTTAGGTGTATATGACTAAACTGAGATTATGCAATTGGTGAGGAACTGGGAACCAATTGGTTCATATCTCTGGTTTCCTTATCGGCTATGCAGTACATTATGCTTATGCTTAAGTAGGAGAATCATATGTTCGAATGTAAGCATAAGGCTAAGAGTATTTAAGCCGGCCATTATAATTCATTTGGATGCATAAAAACCATTTTATGGTTTTATTGAAGCAATTGGTTGAATTATTTGTGTTACTTAATTTGTTTAAGTAATGAGAAGGATCATATTATGTTAGCATTCAAAAGGAAACGAATTTGGTTTCCATATGGATTCTGATTAGTCATTCATTGTGTTGGAATGATTTTTAGTTAATATAGTTGCTATTAACCTGTACTTAACTTGGTTGTGTTAAGTATGGCCTAGATAAGTGGGAACAAATAAGTTTGGTTTTGCTATATTGGTTCACATAATTTCAAAGTGCAAATTAAGTATGTTGTGACTTTTTAGTTAATTCTGCGATGTAACAGAAAAGATTCTTAAGTTTAATACTTTAAAATGCATAAGTAAGTTATATGTGAGGTTAAGCTTTTGTTATCCAAAAGATTTGGTGTTATGATAAAGTTATTGATTGATATAACTGTGCTATTCATACAATTATGAATAATTTTACATTGACAGCCTACTGTCAAGAATGTTTGGTATTTTTATATCAATTTTGGGCTATATGAGTGGAAGTAGACATCTTGGTTTACTCTTGAACTTAGATACATTGCTATGAACATGAACGGAACATTGTGATTTGTAAGTTAAATCTGTATTTTATGTTCCAAAGGCAATTATAAATTCATTATTTTGGCTTATGTAAGCTGGTTGTGTCTATGTACTAGTGTGGTGTTGAATGAATTATGTGATCACCTTTATAATAATTTGAGATGATTATCTGTTGTGATGAATCATACTCAAGTAGAAGAATGTAAGAATATGAGTATGATTCTTGTCTTGAGATAATTGATATTATTTATGATTCTTACAAGTCTTGAGATAATTGATATTATAAATAAGTCTAAATCATGTTGACAAGAGTTAACCAATCATATTGATATATTGAGGACTCCTGTGTTTGCTCATTTATAGGACTCATATTGATATAAAGAATGCAGTCTTGTATTTCTTGTGGGATTATTATAGAGCGATCCAGGTCTTGTAGTATAAAACCATAAGCCTCTGCTCTCACAAAACACGCTCTTATTGTTCCAATTACCTATAACTTAGAAAGCATTGAGTTTTGCAGAGAGAAGAAGGTTGTGTGCAGGTTTTCATGGCTTCTTATCCATGAACGTGGCTGCAAATATGTGTAATATAATTGCTGCAGTTCTTGCACTTATATTACATACATAATTTAAGGATTGTGATTTAGTTGATTAATCCTTGTGTTCTTGGCTAGTGTATTAATCTTTTAAGTTTAGTTTATTCTTACAGAATAGTCTTCGATTTCTTAGGCTCGGGTAGCGGCCTCTTCTCCACGGTGACAGTCAGCACCCCGTCAAGACACTCGGCCGAAATCTTTTCAGTGTCTGCATTTTCCGGCAGCACAAACTTCTTCAAATACTCCCCGAGCCTCCTCTCCATCCTCAAATACTTGACCCCCTGACCCTTTTCCTTCTCTCCCCGCTCACCACCAGAACGTTGTCCTCCTCAAGCTTCACATCAATCATATCCGATATCAGCCCAGGCACATCCACCACAAAAACGTAGGCGTTTGGAGTCTCCTTCACATCTGCGGGCGTGGCGGCCATGGCCTTGGCCTCGCGGACGTACTGGCGCGAAGGGGTCAGGTGGCTCTGCTGGTTCTGCTCGTCGGAGAAGTCAAGCAAGTCGTGCAGGGTCTCCAGAAGGTTGGGATCGAACCCCATGTTCCTCAGGCTCATAACCTGGCTCATCACCTCCAACGATGATCAGATATAAAACTCCTGAAAAATGATTGAACAAATTAAGGTGGAAAATATATGGAGATTGTTTTTGGTGGGTTTGTCTAGGGTTTTGGAGAGTTTATATAGAATGAGGGAAAATATGAAGCGGTGGTAATTGTAAATTAAGAGTAATTTGTACATTTGACAACTGTTTGTGTGGTCTGTTCTTCACTTGTTCCGTGGAGATGGAGATCGGTTGTTTTTGTCTTGGATATCTGCTACGTGGGAGTTCATATAGAGGTTTGGGATCCGCGTGCCAGGTGCTATCGGAGCTGATACTAATGCATGAGCAGATGTGGCAAGCATACACCGCACACGTGCATGCTATTTCTTTGTTGCATGCATGCAGTACAAAATTACTTTAACTTAAGGAATTATATATTTTGTATCTATAAAAAGTAATAGATATGACCACCAAGGAAATGCAAAATTTTCCCTTCAACATAGACTTCAAAATCATAAACGTGACATCAAAAATATCACTTCAATATGTTAAGGTCCATATAAAAGCTCTCTTGGCCATGTATATATAGTTCATAACACGAGTGCCTGATTTTTTGGCCAACAGTTAGGTAGGATTACGAAGGAGGAGGGGAGAGATTTTTTACTGTGTGATCCGTACACGGGATAGTACACCACGTGTTATTATGCAAATGGTGGGATACGTGTGTTAAAAAGTTAATAACTTAAAAAATAGGGCAAAAGACTGTTTACTACCCTCAAGTTTCATGGTTTTCAACATTTAGTACATCAATTTTTTTTCGTCTCAAAGTCATACCTAAAATGTAAATTTTGGGACAGTCTCATACATCCGTTAATCAAACTGTTAGTTCTCCCGTTAAGTGATGACGTGGCGCCTATGTGGACAATGACTGGGAGCCACGTGTCATTAAAAATATTTAAAAAATTAATTAAATAATTAAAATTAAAAAAAAATTAACAATCCATTTTCCCCCTCTCCCCCGTGCCCCCAACCCAGAGGAAGAAGAAGGAGAAAAAAAAAAAAAAAAAAAAGCCGTTTGTAACCCAGAAAAAGAAGAAGGAGGAAGAAGAAGAAAGAGAGGAAGAAGAGAGTTTCAGAAGAGAAAGGGGAGAGTTTCGGCCAAGGGGAGGAGGAGAGAGAAATGAGGTGGCGAATGAGGGAGGAGGAAAGGAGAGAAAGGAGGGAGAGGAGAAGGAGGGGAACGGCCGGGTCTCTCCTTGGCCCGCAACCCGACCCGCATCATTCTTTGTTTTTCGACAAATTTTCACCCATTTTTCCGGCAAATTGCACTACCTAACCACCTCGAATCAACTTCATGACCTTCCCTCTACCTATTACATCCCAAATTTGGAGAGATTTGGTGGTGATGTGCGGCGAAGGTGGTGTGACGGCGATCCGCCATTTTTGAAGTAAATCTCGTCAACCACCACCACCATTAGACTCCCGTAGAACCCAGGAACAAAGCCCAAGCAGTTGTGGAGGCGTTGGAACAAGTGGGTCGCGGTCGGGGGGGGGGGACGAATTCATCTTTGCCGATTCAGGTTTTTTTTTTTTTTTTTTTTTCTTCTTCTTCTTCTTCTTCTTCTCCTTCTTCCTCCTCCTTCTTCCTCCTTCTTCTTCTTCCTTTTCTTCTTCTTCTTCTGGGTTGGCAGACGGTTTTTTTTTTTTTTTTTTTTTTTTTTTTTTCTTCTCCTCCTTCTTCTTCTTCTGGTGTTGCAGATTCTGTTTTTTTTTTTTTTCTTTCTTTCTTCTTCTTCTCCTTCTTCTTCTTCCTTCTTCTTCCTCTTCTGGGTTGGCAGACAATTTTTTTTTTCTTTTTTCTTTTCTCCTTCTTCTTCCTCTGGGTTGGGGGCGCGAGGGGAGAGGGGGAAAATGGCTGGTTTGTTTTTTTTTTTTTTTTCTTTTTCTTTTTCTTTCTTCTTCTTCTTCTTCTTCTTCTCCTTCTTCTTCTTCCTTCTTCTTCCTCTTCTGGGTTGGCAGACAATTTTTTTTTCTTTTTTTTTTCTCCTTCTTCTTCCTCTGGGTTGGGGGCGTGGGGGGAGAGGGGGAAAATGGCTGGTTTGTTATTTATTTATTTATTTTTTTTAAAATTTAAAATTTAAAATTTTAATTATTTAATTAATTATTTAATATTTTTAATGACACGTGGCACCCAGTCATTGTCCACGTATGCACCACGTCATCACTTAACAGTTTGACTAACGGATGTATGAAACTGTCCCAAAATTTACACTTTAGGTATGACTTTGAGACGAAAAAAAATTGATGTACTAAATGTTGAAAACCACGGAACATGAGGGTAGTAAACAGTCTTTTGCCCTAAAAAATAAAACTTTTCACCACTTATATAAAAACACGTGATGTACCACTCGTGTTCCGGTCACAATGAAAAAATCTTAGAGGAGGGAGAAAGGAAGTGGAGAGTTTAGGAAAAGGATCCTCGCCAGATCCTTTTCCTGGGGATCCTAGGGATCCTGTGTTCGTGACTATTCATTGTACATCATGCGGTCAGAAATCATTTTAAATTTTAAAATTTAAAACTAAATATAAATAGTACTTAATGAAAATTGACCACATGATGTATGATGAACGGTCACGATTACAGAATCCCTAGGATCCCCAGAAAAATGATCCTTGCCATATCCTTTTCTGGGAGTTTATATCTCGGAACAAAAGTGCTTGATTTCGCTATGACATTGGCCCTCCTCACTTAATTTCCTAATATTTACCACAATATCGAGGCAAATCAATATGATTAACATTCAAATTTAGTATGGCAAAAAGGGAAAGAGATCATCTCCGGATCTTTTCCATCAAGTTCATCAGATCAAGTGATCTGGATCTTTAAAATTTCAGCCCACTTGTTTTGACCTCTTAAAAACTATAATAGTTTTTGGCCGTTGGATGAAATTTCAAAGGTCCGGATCACTTGATTCGATGACCTTGGTGGAAGAGATCCAAAATGATCTCTTTATGGCAAAAAGAACAACTACTTACTTTAATATCATCCTATGTACTATCACGCTTTATCTTAAGTCAATTTAGAATTTTATAAGGATAATTATAGGAAAACTAAACTTATAGATAAAATTTTGTAAATTATGTGACATGAAAGTTAATGATTGAGTTATTACTTAAGCGTTGATAAACATGCTCATTTCAATTAATGATACATGATTAATTATCAAATTTAATCTACAAATTTAGTCTTCGTAGCTTACCCTTTCATAAGTTAAAAAATCCATGAAAACCAAATCTAGACAAGGATGGATTAAGGGCCACGGGTGTGAACAATGACATGGCTTGGAGCCATGGGTTCAACGTAAAAGCGACCCAAATCTCAGATTGTACGTGTAAGCTCACGGGATATGGCCCAAAATTGCCAATGCTAAAGGTATCACAATTGTTAGAGCAAAGTGCCAAGTGCCAACTAGTAAAATGTTCTTGCATTTTGAACTTGATTAAGTTGACTAGGTAAAATATTGTGTTTTCTCCTCTGCAATCAAGTTCAAATTTGTATCTTCAACCTCAAGCAACGTTGACCTGAATGCTCTTGGCCCTCTTGGGCTCCGGCGGAGGCAATTTCTCCACCCTCACCGTCAGCACGCCACCTTGAGCCACCGCCGAAATCGTCTCCAAATTTGCATTCTCCGGCGGCACAAACTTCCTCATAAACTTCTCCACCCTCAAATACTTCATCCCACCCTCTCCTCTTTTTCTCGCCTTCTCTCCCCGCTCACCACCAAAACGTTGTCGTTCTCCTCTAATTTCATTGGCTTTGATTCCGGGCATGTCTTCCACAAACGCGTGCGAGTTTGGATACTCCACCACGTCCGCTGGAGTGGCCGCCATTGCCCTCGCGTCGCAGACATTCGACCGAGACGGGTTCTTGGGGTTTCGGGACTTTTCGGGCTCTTGATCGGCCAAGTCCGGCATGTCTTCCAATAATGTGAAGAAATTGTTTCCCGCGTTTCTCAAATCCATGTTAACGTAAATTGTGTGAGATTAGTAGAGAATTTATTAGTGTGGAAAATGGAGGATCAGATTGATGTATTTATAGAGTGATAAGGAATTACAGAGAACATGCAAAAGTTCTAGAGGCTGCAAAGCAAAACGAAACAAGAACATCCCATTGCAACAAGAAGAGCAGCAACTCAAAATTTATCAGTACAATCTTCGTATTCAAATTTCGTCATTGTCTTCGTAGTCTTCGTAGAGTGAATCATCTGTTTCTTTCTGCTCCATGTATCCATACTTTCTAAGAAGCCATATGATTACCCGAATCACGTTACCAATGAACACGATCCCCATCAACGCCAGCCATATCAGCACAGAAACTTGTGTCACATAATACAGATAGCTACCCTTTCTCTTATTCGGTGTCATGATGATTAATCCGATAAAATAGGTACCCGTTAGTGCCGTTATTGCAATCCACATGATCACCATCTGAAGCCACATCAATCTCTTCCGCCTCATAGGCAATCCGCTCACCAGCAGTAGAATTATGCTCAATGATGCAAGGAAAGCAATCGTGTTGAAGATCATGAACTGTCCATAATTACGGGGCTCTGTATTTGCCATCACTGACTGCCCGGCTGTGTGCGGACGCTCCACGGCCGTGCCATTGGAGTATTCGAAATAGTCATCCTGCCATACACCGCCTGGCGGGGATAATGCAGCTTGAAATGCCACTGTCGCAATTAGGGAAGTCACAACCATTAACGAGCTTCGTTTCCTTCCCAACCAATCAATGTCCTTCTTCTTTACTATTTCCTTTATACTCATTTTCTTCGACATTAGTGGGTGCATTGAGATCGAGTTGGAGACTCGAACCGAATCCATTTCCGGCTCGTATGCAACGGATCGTGACTTGTTGATTCCTGGAGCTGCAGCTTTCTGAAGACACTGTTTGATTTCCAAGTCTCTTAAATCTCTAGTGCTATGAGATAAGACGTCCAATGCAGTGAAACCATTCGCATTCTGGGCTTTTACATCTATCTTTGTATTAGTCAGCAAATATTTTATAACCTGCACAAAATTTCCACACTTTATCCTTTAGAATGAAAAAATTTGACATCGATCTCAGTCTAATCACGCATTGCGAAACATTGCAAAACACACAAGTTTGCATGACTAGCTTGCGATTTTACGACAGCATCCCGGCCCAATCACGCATTACCAACCACAGCATGCACGAATGGATTGGGATGCTATGGTAGCATCCCAATTCAGTCATGCATTTCCAAAAACAACACCGCATGATTGGCTTGGGATGC